AAGGGTGTTGCATTCATTCTCTAAGGTCCCTTCCCACTCTATGTCCAATGATCAAATGGTCCCATGAATGATGATTCCCTCTCCCACCAGTTCTTGAAGCCTGATATAAACAGAGGATTGGTGGTGCTAGTGGGGGGGGTGGTGGTGGAATGAGGATAAGGTGGGTAAATATAAATAACAATAATATATGTAAATAACAATTATATATATATAAAACAATAAAAGCAATCTAGCGATCAGTTTCATCATTGAAGGTCCTCTTTGCACCCATGTGGATAGTCACAGCTTCTCACCTTTAGTAAATGGTGTCCTGGGTCACTGTGGCTAAAAAGATTTATCCTGTGGGGCCAGATGTCAGGTGATGAGCCTCTATCCCTATCTAGGCTGGTTTTGGAGTGACAGATACACAGTCCAACATGAGCCTTGTTCTTGAATCCTTTTCAGTTTAGTAGAAGGCTTGTATTGTTCGGTTACAGCCTTCAATAACTGTGTCATGTCCATGCCACAATGAATCATTGGAGGGCCATTAGTTAAGGTACCATCATCATCATCCCTGACATATAGGGATTTTCAAAGCTGTTTACATCCATTATCTCATTTGACTCAAGAAGATTGATTATAAATAATATTGAACATGAATACAGTCCACTAAACTTAATCTGCAATTATTTACATTTAAGTAAATGAAATTAAACCCATAAAATGTTATAAGTTTTCAGTCCTTCTAAATCACCATCAGGTTTCTTTGTCTATTTCCCTTCACTTTTCCATTTATAGAGTCATAATTCATGCAAACTCTTTTTCTGGATCTGTATTTCTTTTCTTTTTTCTTTTTTTTTGCTATGTACTACATCTTTCCATATTTCCTTATATAGATTCCTCATATTTGTCAATCTTAATTATGTCATATTATGTTATAGTATTCCATTAAATTTATGTACCATTAATTTGTTCAACCATTTCCCAATTGTTGGGTTTTAGTTTGCTTATAATTTTGTTTTTGTTTTTGTTAATTATATATACTGCTGCAATGAAAACCTCTGAATAGATAGCTTTTAAAATAAATTTGTTTTGTGTTATTTTTGCATCACCAAATTTTCTCCCTGTACATCTCTCTCCTCTTTCAGAAAGTGATACCTTACATATTTTTTCTTTTATTAATGTATCCCTTTTCCTCCTAACTTTCTGCTTCCCCTCTCATGAGCTAATTAAAGGGAAAAAAAAGCCCTTAATACATAGAAACCTAGTTTGGCAAAAACAAATCCCCATATCAGCCATGTCTGAAAATATATCTTTCTGAATTTTAAATTCAGAGTGGCATATTTCATCTTCGTTCTTTTATACTCATTGAATTGATTAGAATTCTGAATCTTTCAAAGTTTTTTCCTTTCTAATATTGTTATCATTGCATAGATTATACTTATTCTAATCACTTGACTTGGCATCAGTTCATATAAATCCTCCTACTTTTCTCTGAAATATTTTGTTATTTCTTGTGACACAAAAACATTCTGTTACATTACAATTTATTTAGCCATTTCTCAGTAAGAGGACACCCCTTTAATTTCTATTTTTTGGCTCTCATGATATACATATGTCTTTTTCTTATTTCTTTGATTTTTTTTCCCCAGTAGTGGTGTAGTTGGATCAAAGGGTTTGTACAAGTCGGTAACTTTTGGGAGCATAATTTCAAATTGCTTTCTAGTATAGCTGGATGCCCTCCAACACTTGACATTTTTCACTCTTGCATCTTTGTCAATTTGATGGTTGTGCAGTGGGACCTCAATTAGATAGTTTATAACTATCTAATTATTAGATATTTAGAACATTTTTTTCATGTGATTGTTGATAGCTTAGATTTCTTCCTTTGAAAACTGCCTGTTCATACCTATTGGAGAATGACTTTTAGTTTTATAGAGTTAAATCAGTTTCTTATATATCTTGGACATGAGACCTTTATCAGAGAAATTTGCTTCAAAGCTTTTCCTTCAGTTCTTTTTCCTTTTAATTTTAGCTGCATGAGATTGTGCAAAAATGTTTAAATTTTATGTAATCGAAGTTGTCCATTCTATCTTGTTTACTCATGAACTCTTCTCCTACCCATTGATCTGAAAGGTAATTTGTTCCTTGCTCATCTAAATTTGTTTGTGATATGACCTTTCACATTTAGGTCATGTATCTATTTAGAGTTTATCTTGGTATATGGTATAAGGTGCTAATCTAAACCTATATTTTTTCAGACTATTTCCCAGCAGTTTTTGTCAAATAATAAATCTGTCCCCAAGAAACTGGGCCCTTTGAGTATATGAAACACCATGACACTGCTTATTTGCTTCTGTGTATTGTATACCTATTCTGTTCCACTGTTACATCTCTATGTCTCTCTGTCTTACATTTTTTCCCCTGATATTTTCAGGATATATTCTCCACAAGAGAATTGAAGTCAGAGGATCATCTCTCTTGCTTGTCATTTATTTTTTGGATGATGTTGAACTAGTCATTTCTATCTTTATGGACCTCAGTTTCCTTATTGCTAAAATGAGTAGTTGGACTAGATGACCTCTGAGGTCCTTCTTTATATCTAAAGCTCTGATCCTACGAATGCTTGGTTTGACAGGTCTGATTATTTTGGCAACTGTTACTCTGTCCTGCCATATTATTTTCCAAAAAGATTATGTATGTTTGCAGTTCCAACACTAATGGATTAATTTTTCTGCAACCCTGCCAGCATTGAATCTCATTGCTTTTAATTCTTTTTGTCCATTTGAAGTGTGGGAGGAGGTATGGCAATGCTGTTTAAATTTGTGTTTCTTTGACTTGGCCCAGATGAACATTTTTTCCCAAAAGATTATTAACAATTTGTGTTTCCTCTTTTGGATAACATCAGCTCATATCCTTTGACCATTGTCAATCTATCCACTGTGGACTAGGAAATATCTTTATAAAATTTTAACAGTTTTCTGTGTGGGTGTGTACACACACGCACATATACCCACTATATTCTTTATATATTTTAGATGTCAGATATTCACCACATTTGCCATAAATATTAATAATCAACTTTAAATTTTGATTATATATTTTATATAGAATTAAAAATTTAAATATAATTAAGTATTTTGATTTTACCACTAATAATTCCTTTCATTTATTGAATGGAAAAAAACAATATTATACCCCTTTCATTTGATTCTTCAATAACTCTATGAGATAGACAAGATATTTATTACTTTCCTCATTTTGTAGATGAGGAAATTGAGATCCAGATGGATTAGGTGCCTTTCTCAAAGTCATACAGGTGAGTCTTTAATTTTGTGTCATTATTACATTTAGTTAGACATAGTCATAGTCCCTGTTATACTCCATGGTGTCGTGGAAGTAACTTTAAGTCCTCAGTGGCAATGGTGGCAGGGTAGAGAGCAAATTATGTATGGGATCTCCTACGAAGCTGAAAATGCTTCAGGAATGGACCAATGATGGGTAATATGGCTGTCTTCCAGGACCTGGCCCAGTTAAATGTGCACAGTTTCATTTTTAGATTGGTCACTGGCTAATAAAACTTTTGGCTAGAGCAACTCATTAAAACACTAATAGCATGTGAAGGGATTACCATTTCTGTTGCTTTATGTGCCAACAGAGGTAAAATGACAGCTCATTTAAGGCCTTGTATTGTATAATTATAGAATGTTATAGCTAGAAGGAACCTATTTTTCTACCTAATCAAAACTTCTTTATCCTGAGTCTCATTCCTCTGGGACCATGATTTCTGATTAACAAGTTGAAAATTTAGTAATACATGCCAAGGTGTCCATAAGAAAAAGACAAGAAAAAAAAAGTTTTGTTTTTCCTTTTACTTCAATGGAGGAAGGGTAGAAAGGAGAGATTAATTATAAAATAATAAAATTTAACACAAAAAATGAAAAATGGGATTTCCCTGAGAAGATGCCTTAACTCAGTGGTGAGGCCTTCCTGAGGTTAGATATTTGGAGGCAGGGAAATATTACATAGTAACCCCCTCCTTCATGATGATGGTGATGATGGAGAAGAGATGAAGAAAAAGGAAAAGGAATAAGAAACACTTTAGGAACTCTATCTCCAAAGAAGGAAAGCTGCAAACAGCAAAATCATAGGTTGAAAGCTAGAAGGGACCTCAGAGGCCATCCAATCCAAACCCTTCATTGTACAGATGAGGAAACAGAGGCAAAGAGGGGTTAAGTAACTTGCCCAGAATCACACAGGCAGTTTGATTGTGGGAATTGAACTTGTATCTTCTTGACTCCAGGTCTAATCCTTATCCACTAGACATCCATAATAAGCCAAGGAGAAGCTCATTTCTAGTTTATCCAACAGCATCCTACCTATCCAGGCAAACACACACACACATACACATGCACTTGTATTGGAATCTGCCACTACTTTTATGAGAACACTGTCCTGGAAAAAAACAAACAAACAAACAAACAAAACACATTGGTGTTAGTTTAGAGTGCTTGGCTCCTACTAACTGATGCTATGACTTTACCTAAGTCATTTCCCCTTTTAGGTCTCCAGAGTTCTCATTTGTAAAATGAGGGAGCTGGATTAGATCACTTTACACACTTCTTCCCAGTTCTGATAGTCTAAGTCCTAGACCTTCAGAGTCTCCAGTGCCTTTCGCCTAGATAGCTGCACAGCACACATATCTGAATCTTCCACCCCAGAATTTAAACTTAAGTCACTAGGTAGCGTCCGGAAGGAAAGAAGGAAAGAAGGAAGAAAGGAAAAGGAAAGCAGGCTTGTTTGCTCATACTTAGATTCCTGATTTCCGAGATGACTGTTTCCCTCTTGCGGTCTTGCCTTGTTATTACAACTGGTTAGTTATAATTATGTTAAAAGAGAAAAGTTGCCCATATCCTGTTTAGTAGGGGTGAACACATTTCCTGTGTGGATCCTGCCTCCCTTCCTGTGGACTCTGCCTTCTTGCGAAGTGTGGGGGAGTGCCTTGGTAATTTTGCTGTCACTTTCTATTCCTTGTTCCAGGCAGCGGTATTGCTGGGATAATTGCTAAGCTAGGCAATTAGCTACTAAAGTCAGCACGATCCTCCATCTATCTTAAAACAAACAAACAAATATTTACTACATGGATTACTCTGCCCAGAGATTAGCTCCTCTTGCACTTGGCACCAGAAGGGAGCAAGGCAATATGTTTCTAATTCCAGATAGAGAGCAGCCTGAATGTGAACACCTGATGAAAAGAATTTCAAGTGTGAAAAAAAGTAAGGTAAAGAAATCTACTTCTGGAGGATTTCAGGAGCCGTGGTAGTAGGAATGTGGCTCCTGGAGTCTTGAGCCTCAGTTTTTCGAGCTCTTCTGGTAGCCCGGAAATGAGAGGGAGCTGGGAACTTCATTACCCTTTCCTGCAGTTGGGGTTTCTCTGACGTTTTCTCTGATCCCCCTTTCCCTACCTCTTCTTCTGCCCCTTCCCAAGGATCAAAGCTCTCCCTGCTACTTGTCTCTTAAGATTCTGGGACAGAAGGGATTTTTGTCCATTCTCCATTAAAAATAAAGTCATATGGAATTGGTTTATAACTTACTTAGTTAAGCTCTTTGAGGGCAGGGGACTATTTCATTTTTATATGTCATATCTTCTTTACTGTTCTTCCTTCCCACCTAGCATAGTGCCTGGCACCTAATCAGTGTGTAATGAAAGCTTGTTAACTTGACTTATGGGGAGGGGGTGTACTGTACATGTGCATAAAAGTATTTCACAAGGCAGAATGAGACAGAAACAAAGGATGGATCCAGACAAAATATTTAAAGCACCTTGAGGAAGGCAAAATCTTTTTCTGTTGGATTGGGGCTGTGGGATGAAGGAAGTCTTAATGGAGAAGGTTGTACCTGATCTAAGGTTTGAAAGAAGAGAAGAATTTTATCAAATATTGGGTTCCAGGAACGAGGAATAGAAAGCTGACGGGAGACCATATGGTACAACCAAGTTAGGAATTAGTTATTAATCCAGTTTGGCTGGAATATAGAGTGAATTCAGGAGTAAAATATGAAATAAGGCTGATATTTTATCATACATATGATAGTCAGCCAATGTCTCATTTTGGTGAGAACACTGATATGATTATGTTTGTGCAACAGGAAGAATCTTTTTGCTGATATAGAAGGAATGATCAAAGAAGAGGAAAGCTGAAGGTAGGGAAAACAGTTAAGAGGTTGTTAAAAGGACAACAATGATTTAATACCAATAATTCAAATTATGTAGTCCCTTCATGGTTTAAAAGTATTTTCATACATAGTATCTTATTTGATTTTGACAATAATCCTATGAGGTTGACAGCAGAAATGTATTTTCTTCGTATGACAGATGAAGGAATTGAGGCTCAGCGTGGTTAAATGACTGACCAAAGGTCACAGAGCTATGTTGTTGTTATGGAACCCAGGTCTCCCAACTCTCAGTCCAGTATTATTTCTACTATATTACATATAAGTACTATTCCATAATGGTGCCAGAGTACAAGAGACCTCCATTAAAGAGAATCGTGGGGGGAAGGGTGTGGAGAGAGGACATCCCTTAGGCCCATATGAAGTTATTCCTGGTCCAAACTGTCAAGTCCTTGTTGTTTTCAGTCTCTGAGCCTTTCCATTTTGTGCCCTTTAACCCTTGGGGTGACTTCCTTGCTAGGTATTCAGTGCCCTCTTAATCTGATCTCCTAAATCTTCCTTAGTACGCCCTCATCAAAACTTGCTCTCAGATTTCTGCTTCACTTACTTCAATGTACTTCGCCAAATTCATGATCTCATTGACGTAAGTGCTTGGTTCACTGGTACAGATAGTAACTCGCTCGTGCTTTCTTATTGTGTGTGACTGTTGTCTATGTGTCCCATGAATCCTTCACAGACAATCCACCCAATGACCTGGAGATGCTCCTCTGATCTCATCTTTCTGTGGGATTAAGAATAATATTTGGGATTTCCCTCTGAAATTTTTCATTCTTGTTACTTGACTGACCCCCACCCACCCTCTTTCTCTGATCTACATTTCCTGGCTGTATCCCTTATGCCGCTTCTTTCAGGCAAGTTACTGTTGATAATATACTACAGCCTAATTATGGATGACATGTACTTGTCCACGGATTTGAGTTTTCTACAGTTTTGATTCTTTGGCAATGTGGTGTTCCATGATGTATAGCCATATGGTTTTCCTAGAAGAATGTTGGAGAGATGCATGGTGATCCCTCTCAAGTAGATTCACGTTTTAATATGGATCAAACTTATACCTGAAAATTTAACTTAGAATTGGGAGTCAGTAGACCAGTGGTCAATTCAGGCCATACCACAGAACAACTGTGACCTTTTACAAGCCACTTCCTTTCTTTGAACCTCAATGTTCTCATCTCTAAATGAGGGGGCTGGACACCATAATATTTAAGATTCCTTCTAGTTCTGGCATCTAAGGTGAAAGAGAATGAGGTCAAAGGTGACTGAGGTTTTGAACCAGGCAAATTGCAAAAATACTGATACCCTTAACAGAAATAGGGAGTTTAGGAAGAGTAGATTTAGGGAGAAAAAGGAGTTTAAATTTGAACATACTCAACGAGGTGGAAATGTCCAGCAATTGGTGATATGAAATTAGAATTGAGGAGAGATGTAAGGGTTGCATATGGCTTGGAATCCATAGATTTGGGAGTTATCTGAGAAAAGATGAATGCATGGGAAATTCTGCGATCGCTAACTGTACAGAGAGAAGAGGGCACAGGACAGAGGAATAAGCATCAGCAAGCATTTATTAAGTAGTATGTATTACATTGTGCCACTCTACATGAGCTAGGAGCGAAGGTACTCTTAGCATGCTAGGAGTGCTACAACTAACCAATCAATGACCACGTGTTAAAGTATGTGTCCGGCACTGTGTGCTAAGTGCTAAGTGTTAAAAGAAAAGAAAGGAAAGGAAAGAAAAAAAAGCACAGACATTCTCTGACCTCATGGTGCTTGCATTCTAATAGACAGGACAACATTTATTTAAATAGGAGCATACAAGATCCACAGAGAGCCATGGGAAGGTAATCTTAAAGAGAAAGGCAATAGCATGAGGAGAGTGGGAAGAGTAATTTACAGAAGGTGGTATTTGAGCTGATTCTTCCTACAGGAGGCCAGAGATTTTGGAGGGAGAACATTTTAGGCATGGGAGGTGGGGGTGTTGCCATTGCAAAGTTATGGAGATGAAGAAGATCAAGAAGGCCAGTATGGCCTGTAGAATATGTGGAGGGAAGTGACCTGTAAGAAGTTTGGAAAAGTGGGAAGGGGCCAGGTTGCTAAGAGTTTTAGATGCCAAACAAAGGAGTTTATATTTGATCCTAGAGATAACAGTGAGCCCCTGGAGATTATTTAGCAGGGGTGACATGGTTAGACCTCTAGTTTAGGAAAATCAGTTTGACAGCTATGTAGAGAATGAACTAGAGAAGAGAGAAACCAGAAGCAGGCAGAACAATTAGAAGGCTATTGCAGTAGTCCAGCCTATTGGAGGCAACTGGGTGGCTCAGTGGCTGGAGCATTGGGCCTGGAGTCAGGAAGACCTGAGTTCATATCTGGCCTTAGACACTTAATAACTGTGTGATCCTGGGCAAGTTACTTAATTGCCATCAGCCTCAGTTTCTTTCATCTGTAAAATGGGAATCCCAATAGCACCTCCACACACACACAGGGCTGTTGTAAGGAACAAATGAGATAATATTTGTAAAGCACTTAACATCATTGTGTTAAGTGTTCCTGGGACATGGTAAGACTTTAATAATGCTTATTTCCTTCCTTCCTTCCTTCCTTCCTTCCTTCCTTCCTTCCTTCCTTCCTTCCTCCTTCCTTTCTTCCCTTCTTCCTTCCTTCCTTCCTTCCTTTCTTCCCTCCTTCCTTCCTTCCTTCCCTCCTTCTTTCCTTCATTTTTTCCCTCCTTCCTTCCTTCCAGGTAAGAGATAACAATGATGTGAATTAGAGTGATGGCTGCATGAGTGGAGAGAAAGGGGTAGATATAAAAGATGTTGTAGAGAAAGAAATAACAAGGTTTGGTGGCTGATTGGATATATAGGATGAGGGAGAGTGAAGACTTGAGGATGGCACCAAGGTATTGAACATGGGTGACTGGAAGGATGGTGCTGCTCTTGAAGTTTGGAACAAGAAGAAGGTAGGAGCGAACTGGGAGAGAACAGGGTCATGAAAATCCAGAGAAGAGACAGGAGGAGAAAGTGATCAAAGTGTCAGATGCTCCCAGGAAGTTAATAAGTATAAGAACTGATAAAGGGTCATTGGATTTCTCATTTAAGAGATAATCAGTAACTTTGAATAAAGTAATTTCCTTTGAGTAATGAGGTCAGAGCCAAACTGGAGAGAATTTAGAAGACAGCAAATGGAAAGGAAATGGAGCCATCTGGTATAGGTTGACATCTCATATAATAGCTAGCTTTCTCAAGGTGTTTAGTTTAGAAGAGGAGAGTTATAGAATAATAGAAGGAATGATGGGATCTTGTGAGGGTTGTTTGGGATGGAGGAGACATGGGAAGGAACTAGCAGATAGGGAAATATTGAAGATTAAAGAGAGAGTGGGGATGATAATGATGCACTTTGCTTGAGAAGATGACAGGGGAGGGGATCAATGGTGCAGGTGGATATAGATTTCCATGAGAGCAAGAAGATGGAAGAAGTGTGATATGAAAAAGTCTAATATTCAGGGAATTTTGGTAACAATAGAACAAAGGTACCGTAGGGTATGATGGAAGAGGAAGGCAAGGCAGGAAAAAGGATTGGAGTGTAGAAAGGTTGAAGTAGACCGAGATGAAGTAACAGGGAGTGATAGCAGTGGAAGGGATTTTTTCCTAGGCAGCCTTGGATTCTGAGTCACAGAGATGAACAGTCAATAAATTCACTGGTTCATTTATTGACTCAGATATTTTCTATGGGAGGCTTTTATGTTCTCTGTTAGGGCTATAATCAAAATACAGGCCCAAGAAAGGAAGGTAGAAAGGCTGGTTAAATGGAAACCAAGACTCTCTGTTGAATAATCTAACAGTCAAAGGAATATTTATTTCCTCGGTCAAAATTTTGTATATCTTATCTCTAAACATACATAGATGCTCAATAAAAAACTTTCAGATAGATTGACATGATTGACTGAACCTTTGTCATTTGGGAGGAGCTGTGTGACTGGAAATGCTGAGAGCCTTCTCTACTTTCAAGCCATGTAAAAATGAAATTTGGCCCTGCATATACTCAATCATTAAGCTAATGGTGATACCTAGGACCCAAATACAATCAAATGACAGAGGTGGAAGAGACATTAGAATGTAGAACACAGAGAACTAGAGATTCAAGGGATCTTATGTCTCAGAACATAGAATTTCAGAGCTAGAAAGAATCTTAGGACGTGAGATCAATCAATCTGTCAATCAGCAAGAATTTATTAAGCTTCTACTATTTGTCAAAGACTGTTCTGGGTATCAAGAATGCAAAAACAAAAATGAAATAGTCCCTGCCCTCAAAGAGCTTACATTCCTTTGATGGAATACATGTAAGTAAATACAAAATATATATAAAGTAAATCAAAAGTAATTTTTTGGGGAAGTTACCAACAACTGGATGGATTGTGTTAGACTTTCTATAGGAGGCTGAATCAATCTAATCAGTAAACATTTATTAAGTACCTACTATGTGCCAGGTGCTGTGCTAAGTGCCATGGATACATAAAAAAAGGCAAAAGACAGTCCCTGCCTTCAAGGAGCTCACAATCTAATGAGGGTGACAACAAACAACCAAATACATACAAAGTAAGCTATATAGAATGCAAAAGGAAATACTTAACAAAGGGAAGGCACTGGAATTAAGAGAGATTTAAGAAAGGCTTCCTGTAGAAGATGGGATTTTAGAAGCTAGGGAAGCCAGTAGGTGGAGATGAAGAGGGAGAACATTCGAGGCATGGGGGACAGCCAGAGAAAATGCCCAGAGCAGAGAGAGTCTTTGGTTCATGAAACAGCAAGGAGGCTAGTGTCACTGGATTGAAGACTATGTGATAGGGTGTAAAGGACTAGAAAAGTAGGAGGGAGGCTAGGTCATGAAGGGTTGTGAATGCCAAACAGAATATTTTGTATTTGATTCTGGAGGCAATAGAAAACCAATGGAGTTTATTGAAGGTGTGTATGTGTTACATGGTTGGATCTGTGCTTTAGGAAAATCACTTTAGCAGCTGAATGAGGGATGGATTGAACTAGAGAGAAACTTGAGGCAGTAAGCTATTGCAGTAGTCCGGGTATGAGGTGTTAAGGGTGTGCAACATGGTGGCATGTTTCAAAGATGGAAGAGAGGTGTTATAAAGGTGAAATCAACAGACTTTGACACATATTGGCTATGGAGGATGGGGAGAGATAGTAAAGAGTCAAAGATGACTCCTAGGTTGTGAGTTTGAGAGACTGGGAGGATGGTGTTGCCCTCCTAGTATCAGGGAAGGTAGGAATAGGGGGAGGGTTGAGAAGAAAAGTTAATGAGTTCTATTTTGAGTTTAAGATGTCTAAAAGGCAGTTATAGAAGCAAGATTGGAAGTCAGCAGAGAACTTGAGGCAAGAAAGATAGATTTGAGGGTCATAAGAATTGAGATGATAATTAAATCCATGAGAGTTGATGAGTTCATAAAATGAAATAAGGAAATAGTATGGAGGGAAAGAAGGGAATGACTCGGGACTAACTCTGTAGGATATCAGTGTTTTGAGGGCAAGATCTGGATGAAGATCCAGCAGAAAAGACTTGAGAAGAAGTACTCAGATAAGTAGGAGGAGAACCAGGAGAAAGTGTATCCTGAAAACCTAGAGAGAAGACAGTATCAAGGAGAAGATAGTGATCAATAATGTCAAAGGCTACAGAGAGTTCAAGAAGAAGGAAGATTGAGAAAAAGCCATAGGATCTGGCAACTAAGATCACTGGAAATTTGACTTTGAGCTGAGAGCTTTGAAGGAGGCTAGGGAGTTCAAAGTGTGAAGGGGAGAAGGTTCATTCCAGGCTCAGAGCATGCAGAGATTTTACAACACAAAACAAAGAACTTTGGAGCTGGAAGGGACCTTTGAAATTAGCACCTAGAATTTTGGAAGTAGAAGATCTTTATAGATCATTTACTTTAGAGGTTCTTAACCTGTTTTTTGTGAACTGTGCCCCTTTGGATGTCTGATGAAGCCTATGAACCCTTTTCAGAATAATGTTTTTAAGTGTTTAAGATAGGATTACAAAGAAACCAATTATATTGAAATATAGTTATCAAAATGTCTTTTAGAAGTCCACACATCATTCTAAGAACCCCATATGTAATCCAACCCTTTCATTTTGAGAGGAAAAAAAAGACTTATTTGAACTCGAAAGCAAAAATTAACCAATGTAATACCATACGAATACCGTACAAGAGAATGAATTTTATTTCAGAATTATTTTCATAGTAGTAAAGTAAGTCACCCTAGCTAAAGCACGTTATGTGTAAGTAGCTATCTGTAAGGGCTCTGTTAAAATTCATATTTTGATGATGCCTAATTACTTTTTCTTATTTCCCTAGGACTGGTCATATTCCCTCATCATGGCATCACTTGTTGGAGCTTTTGGCTCTTCCTTTCTCTACGGTTACAATCTTTCTGTGGTCAACGCTCCTTTCCCGGTAAGTACTAAAAGACAGCTGGATGATATGCCCAGCAGAGGGCAACCTTGTATTATCGACAATTTCAGCTGGAAAGCCGTGCTATTTTGTTGCATAGAAACACTGTACTATATCCTCTCACTACCTTTTTGACAACTCTGGTTTTAGACCTTTAAAAGAGGCAATGTTGATGCCTGCTGGAGGAGAACATTGCACACAAGCCAAATTGAGTAGTTCATTTTACTTTATTTTTAAATTTAAAAATGCGTTATTACTTTTTGATTTTATACCTTAGCTATTTTCCTTTACCTCCCTCATCCTGAATCCTTCCTTACTGACTAAAAAGTCAGCCAAGAAACATTTATCAAGCATTTTCTTTGTGTCAGACACTGTGTAGGTTCTGGGATACAAAGTCAAAAAGAAAATTGTTTGTAAGATGTTCGTTATCCAGCTGTGGGAAAGCATGTTTCATATAGGTATATACTGTGTACCAAAATGATCCAAGTTCATTTTGAGGAGGAAGGCATTGGTAGCTAAGGAGATCAGGAAAGACTTCCTAGAGAAGGTAACATTTGAGATGATATTTGAAGGAAACAAGGGATTCTAAAATTCAGTTGTAGAGGAAATATATTTCAGGCATGAAAGACAACCAGTGCAAAGGCTGGAGATGAACTATGGAATATCAGTTATGAGGAATAGAAAGGTCAGTTTAGCTAGAATAGGGTATATAAGTAGGGGAGTAATATGTAATAAGGTTGGAGAGGTAGGTTGGGGACAGGTGTGAAGGGCTCTAAATGCCAAACAGCAGAATTTAGGAGTAATAAATCAGTCAGTTTATAAATATTTATTAAGTACCTACTCTGTGCTAAACACTGGGACCAGAAGCTTTTTTTGAATAGGGAAGTATTTTGGAGTAGATTTATTTAATTAGATCAGAATTTAATCTCTGTGCCACTTAAACTTAATTCTTTATCTCATTCCGTACTTTTTTAATGGAGACCTTTTACAGAGGTATAACAGCATGTGGCTCTTTAAAATATTAGAAAAAAATAAAAATAAAACACATTAATATGTTTACCATAGGTATCTCCTCCCAGCCCACTCACTTCTTTTCAGGTTCATGTTAACCTCACTTGGGCAAACAAACCTAAAACCCAGGCAGTCGGTTCATTTTCCTAGTGGCTCTCACAGGGACACAGTAGGATATCTACTCTGGTTTCTCCTACTCATGGCCAAATCACCGAGCCAGCAGATGTGACTCTAGAACTCAGGACTTTTGATCTCTCTCTTTTTTCATTTCCTTTTTCAAACATAAATAACCTTTTACTCTGATATCTCCTTACTTCATATATATATTGCTCTTGATCTCTCTTACTCTCTTTTAAGATGGCTCGGGCCCACTTCTTCTAGTAATCTGAATTGAGTTTTGATTCCCTTGTTTGGACCCCAGCTCTTGTGTAGTTGTATTTCTGTCTACTTTCACTGTGGCAGGTATGAGGGGAGAGGATTTCTCTACAGGGAATGACAGGTTTTCTCTCATTCCTTTCCAGGCTCCAATGCTTTAAGTCTTTCCTTCATGTTATTTTTAGTCCTTTTCTGCTTATTTCATTCTGCATCAGTTCATACAAGTTGTCCCATGTTTCTCTGAATTCTACATATTCATTATTGAGGACTCCCCAGATAGCTTTTGTTGGTATAAGTTCTATCTATTGATATTTATCAAATTCAAAATGAAAACATCTTAGTATTATTTTGAAAATGGCTTTGATCTAGTGAACCCTTTAAAAAGGCTTTAGGGACCCCCAAAAGTGCCTGGATCATACTTGGAAAGCTATTGATATAATGGATAGGACACTGGACTTGGAGTTAAAGAAGAACTGGGTTCAAATTCTATCTCAGATATTTACTATCTGTCACTAGCTGAACAAGACAGTTAATCTTTCTGTGCTACTGTTTTCTCATGCATAAGATGAGGAAATTGGACTTCTTGGCTCCGAAGGTCCTTTCTAGCTCTAAATCTTATAATTCTGACTTCAAATCTAGTATTCTATCCACATCCTTCTGCTTCAGAGTAAACATTGATATACAATATGATTATATGCTGTTGTGTATAGCTCATTCTATACTCCTACAATACAAAGCTGGGTGGAAAATGAAAAATTCCATTTCAGCATCATCTAACTCAGCCACAGAGGACTAGCTGATGGTATTAGGGACTGATCTTTTACAAAATGTCTTCAGTTGGCCAGTGAGTGGAATTGAGTAGAAAAGCTTTTGTGGTGGCTTGATGTCATTCAATAGCCAGCTCAGCTGTGAGGAAGCCTGATGTTCTTTCTTCCCTAAGGCAATCAACTAAAATTTTACCTCAGAGACTGGCAGAGAAGTGGGGGGGAAAAGCAGCAATCTCAAACAATAAGATGTTAAACCCAGTCATCATGAAAGATGAGAATTATTTTTTACAAAATGTTTTATGGATGCTTTTGTTATTTTTTTATATCTCTGTCAGTTCCCAATAACATGGCTCGAGCCCCAACCACAAAACCTTTCCTTATAACAAAGAAACCAACCTATCAACTGTATATGCAGTAACTGTGTCTATATTTTCTCCACTTTCTATTGAATACAAAAGCACCTCTTATTTCTATTGCAAGGAGGGAATTGCTTGATTATCCATGCTTTAGAATCAAGATTGATCAGTATAGAATTCTTATGATTTTTAATATTGTTTTCTATCACTTCATCATGGTTATTATGTATTATTGTTTTCTTGGTTCTGCTTTTTGTCCTCTGTGTCAGTTTATGTAGGTCCTCCCAAGGTTCTATGAAGTCTTCACTTTTGCTATTTCTTAGGGTTGGATGATAATTTTGGCTAGTGTCACTCTTCTTCAAATAAGGAAAACTATGTCCTCCCATAAATTTCCCATGGCAGGTCTTCTCTGTCAGCTGGAAGCCTTCCTCTGCGTCTTCACATTCCATGGGTACTAAAGAAGGCATGAGGGTTGCATTCTATCTTTTATCCCTTGTTCACCTATATAACTGGTCTATCTTCTTTTTCTGATAATACATTAATTTCCTTGAAATTTTTTTTTGATGCGGCAATTGGGGTTAAGTGACTTGCCTAGGGTCACACAGCTGGTAAGTGTTAAGTGTCTGCAGTCGGATTTGAATTCAGGTCCTCCTGACTCCAAGGGCAGAGCTCTATCCACTGCTCCATCCATCTGCCCTCTCCTTGAAATCTTCTAAGCTACTTGTTGTGACCATGACATCACTGATATTGTATTGTATCCTGTTTAAATCCCTATTCTGTTTCTCCATTGCCCTTTTGTATTATCTGGAGATTTGATTCTTTTACAATCCATGATTTGGTTTTACAAGCTCTAATACCACCTTCTGTTCAGGCCGTGAGGGAGATAGCCCATGACCTTGAGCCTAGAAGCTGAAAGTGGTGTCTGGAGCTAAGGTAGAGTTAGTATCAGGATCAACAACAGAGTTCAGAGATCAAATGAAGAGCTATGGTCTTGGATCAGGCCAAGGGGCTTCAGTATTGATGCAAGCAATAGGAGTATAGGTTGGATAAAGAGTACTCAATGAGCTGGGATCTATGCTCTTTAGATATTTATACTTTTTTTCATCTACCTCTAAATTCGCCATAGTTGGACAATGCTGACTATTACTGACATTCTCAATGTGAAAAGCTAACTCTCAGTAATCATAGCCATAGAGGTTCTAGTGTGCGTTAAATACTTCACCATCTCCCACTTTTTCTCAAGCTCCAGTTTTCTCCTCTGCAAAATTGTCTCTGCACCACCCACCTTAAAGGATTCTTGTCAGAGTTAAATGAGAAAAGTGCTATATAAATGAACTATTTTCATTTAATTGCCTTTTGTAAATGAAATTGTATCAGAGAATACTCTGTCAGCTCTTGCCAAAGGTGGACTATGGTGGCTCTTAGTAAGTGGAGAGGCTTCTCTCTTAGGACATCTTGCTTCTAGCCCCCGAGGAAATGTATGAAGAAAGAGTTAGGTTCCATCCACGCTCCAGGACTGTCATTTCCTTGGGTGACAACCTCATTTGTTTTCATGGAACAGTAATTGTGAAAGGTCCCATTTCTAACTGTCATACTCCTGCTATTACTAAAGTGCCCTTATTATATAGTGATTATAAAACTCCCATCAGCACTTTCAGAGGTTAATGACCATGTCTGAGAAAAGTTGCCCAGAGAAGTGACCTCAGGTACCTTTGTTTATTCTTGGAGTGAAAGGTTGCATTCTGTCATCAATGATTAATTTCCCTAACGTATCTAGGTACATTTATTTTCTAATGTGAGTACACTGAATTCTTTCTTTGTGGTTATCCTTGGGGTTAAGGTTAATGGAACTTTGCCTTATGGGTGAGACTGGATCTACTTCTATATATTGTAGGTATGTGTAAAATATATATAAATATATATGTATAATATACATGTCATATGTATATTATATATAATATACATGTCATACATATATTATATATAATATACATGTCATATGTATATTATATAACATACATATGTGTGTATGTGTGTATGTGTGCATACATTAAGGATCTGTGATTTCTTCAGTGTAGCAGTGGTAGATGGTTGCCCCTCTACAATTTAGTGGATAAAAGAGTTGTCTGATGCTGAGCAAGACTAAGTGACTTACCCATTGCTCACAGGGCTAGTGTGTATGTGTTTTTGTGTGTGTGTGTGTGTGTGTGTGTGTGTATATTCATATATATGGTTGCTGATATTTGTATACTATTTACTAGTTTACAAAGCATTTTACGTGCTCAAATTTATCCTCAATAAATATGTATCTAGTATAAGTATTACTATTAATAATAACAGCTGATATTAATATAGTACTTTAAAGTTTGCCAAGTGCTTTATTATATATATTATCTTGCTTGATTCCCTGTGAGATAGATCCTATCACTATCTCCATTTTACAGATGAGAAAACCAAGACCAAGAGAAGTTAAGGGACCTGACCAGGTTCTCAT